CAACCGTGGCATCGTGGAACAACTTCTTTATACTGTTGGATAATTAACTTAACTGGCTACTTATTTCTAAGGGAAGTTTGAATTTTTATTTTATCGCTATAATTTATTAGGGATTTTTTGAAGTTTTATCAGTTGATCGTAAAATAAATCTTGGAAAACTTTAATCTTTTTATAACATCGTGTAACTTGAAATCCATGTGTCTTGAAAATTACAAAAATACCGAATGATTTATTTTTACCAATTATTTTAATTATTATAATTACTTCGTCCGTATTTTATTTTTCCAGATTTTAAATTGGAATAAATAGCTACAATTAACTAACAATCATTTCCTCTTGTAAATGAACGAAATTCTGGTTACAAAAGATTACTTATAAAATCTTAGACTAAAAATCGAAATGATGCATTTAACATTATTGCATTTTTTTTTTCTTTTTAGAATTAGAAAAAAATAAATGAAATGAAATCGTACAGGTATCTAAAATGAAATATGACAGATTACGTCGTAATAAAGAGTAATCGCAAAAAAAAAGACGGAAAGGTATTCAGAGGAGAAACAAAAGAAGAATAAACGCGAATTACAAGCGAATTCTATCAGCGTAGTTTAGTGATTATAATCTCCCGTCGTTAAAAAATAATTGCCAGTGTCTTATATATCTGAGTCATAGAAGACTCGACATCACTTTTTAATGTCCTTTGTCACGCATAAATGTTACTACGGATTACAGTGTAGCTTCTAAAATTCGTAAATTACTGCTATCTATTTCTATTTCTTTCGAATAATTGTTCTTATCAATCATTATCGGAATGATACATAATTGAGCAATTACTTCTTCTAGAAGTAATGACATTGATTTTGCGCTGACAGCGAAAAACTAGGAGTACTTGTCTCCGCTTAATTTAGAATAATTCATTCAAATTTATTTTATTTAAAAAGAGATCCTTTCAAAAAATTGTAAAAATGCACGGTTGAAATTCAAGAATACTTTTCTCTACATTTTCTTTGTAATTTATTTGACACGAGTTGAATCATATTTCAACTATGTTATCTTATGTTATATAATCAATATAACATTGCAACTGTTTTCCTGTTATATAATCAAAATTTATAATGACGTTGATCTTTAAATTACAATAATTCTAGATCGATAGAATTTAATCTTAAATTGTCAATAGCCCAGTGAAGTAATTAAGACTCGAGCCTGTACTCAACAGAACTTGATTTACAACTCATAACCCGTTGAAAAAGAAATTGACTCGACAATGCGAAGATAAATAAGAAATATCAAACAACATTTTATTATACGAGGAAAAGTTGATAATTTAATAACGGTAATCAACGCCAGATTGAACAATCTTTATCGTCATTTTTATCAATATTGACAATATTGAAATATTTCTTAAGTATGTTTCCAGTCAGTACTGTGCGATATTTACACGAGACGATTCCCTCCGGCTTTCAACGAAACACTTGTCTCGATAATGATAACCGTGTGCAAATTGAGTCAGATTGTTTCTTTTGTTGGTGTAACTTCGTATTCACCGCGTAATAATGCAAAGTGAAGTGAAGTGACTAGATTCTAGAGGGAAGTAGAATGCACGGGACAGGATTCGAAGGATATTGACCCGACCTATGTCGATGTAGATCGCGTTCTTCTTCCTCAACAGGCTGCTCTAAAAGTCGCTTCCATATTCTATTATCGTCGTGGTAACACTTTAAGCGTTTCTGATTTAATATTCGCATAGATAAGTACGACTACGTGCAAAAGGGTAAAAAAAAAAAATGAGGAGCAACAAGAAATTTCCTCGTACCGGTTCTACCACTGTGTGCAACTCAGTGTGAACATTACAAAAATGTTGATCTTCCCAATGTCTTTATTCTTTCAACCCTTAACCTACGTTGGGCTACGAATTTAATTCCATGTAATTTGGATTATATTTAAATTAGATTACTTAGTAATTTTAAAATTCTCTAATTGTAGAATATTTTAGATTTAAAAAAAAATTAGAGACTGTTTTAAAATTAAATTTCAATTGAGCATGAGTTGTTAGTGATATACAACCGAATGATACGAATTTTGGGTTAAAAATAATCATCAGACCGCAGATTTCTCGCTATTTTTGAGAAGATTAAAAAATTATACCGAATATATATATATATATTTTTTTTTTTTGAATGCACTATGTTTAAAATTTGCATTTTACAATTTCTTATAAACACACAAGTGTCCGCGGTCTAATAATTGAGACCTTGCATAATTGCTGAATGATTAAAAGTAATTAAGAGCATTTCTTTGGTTCTTTGCGTAAGAACTCGCATTGAAAATGACAAGGACACGATGCAATAAAATTTTTATGAAATTCAAATAAGGAATTAAAGTTTCTTATATAAAAGTCTTTGAGAATTAGAACTGAATATTAGATAGGACTGTACTTGATTAGATTCTGATTTTAAATGTCGACCTTGCTTCTTGTAACTCGCTCCTTATTATTTTTGGTACTTGTTAAGATGATTACAGTGTTTGTAATTGACAAATATCAATTGATTTTTTTATGTACTTGAATAATAAGAAATCCTTGACTACTTGTAAATTACAATATCAATATGAAATTAATTCGAAGATAAAGCATGAGAACGTGTATATTAAATAAACTTCAGCTCTCTTCTCTATTTAAAAATTATTATATCGTAATATCTTCTGAAAAACCTTGTAACCAATTCCTAAAGCAGATTAAATGATCATCAACTGTTACCTCATACTACTGAAATTACAGAGATTCACGCAGAGTATCTAGAAATCGGGCGCATTTTTTTAAATTAAACTTCGCAGTCAAAGTAAGATTTTCTAAACAATTAACGTACAATTTCTCACGAGAGTATTCGAATATTTATAATCTTGTAACTTCTACAAGAAATTCCTAATTTTCAGATTGATTTCAAACTTTATCGTATGTAGCCATTGGACTGGGCATTTCTACGTATTTTGTGAGAAATTTGAAGACACAAAATTAAATAAACTGCATGTAATACTGAAAAATATATAAAATATTCAAATTGGAGTATTTGTAACCATGAAACAAATTTTTATTTAAATTTCATTTCTTTAATTATGGTTATAAAAATTATAAAAATACATAAAAAAAAAAAACACAATCCACAACCACTGATACCACAACAGTCCCCTTTCATCGTTATGTAACATTAAAATTTTGAAATGTTTTATATAACATATCATAGTATGTACCTTATACAATAAATTCCTATGCATCTGTACAAATGATCCTGACTATACACGTGGAATTCCTCAAATAGATTTCGAAAAACAACTACCAAAGACAGACTCTATGTAAATACCCATATTATCGGTGCGGGCATAAAATGTGGGAAACAGTTATAGTATCTATGCTAAAAACCCGATACATATGCATACCAGAGATACAATAAGTTCTTGCAGCGTCAGTATATCCGTTTAACTCACCGTTCAAACCATGACGAATCTACATGGATAATTTTTCATCGTCTCTTTTTCCTCGCCAGCAGACTTACAACTAGACCATATATCGTTGTACATTTATTTGCAAGAAGTTTAGCTGTTAATTAATATAGTGGATCAGTTGGGAACAACGATAATTTGAAGGATAGATTACTAAAATTTGGAATATTCAATTTTCGTTCGATGATTGATGGAATTGGTTTTTAAATGTTTGAGCAACTATTATTTTTCAAGCGGAGAAGAAAAGATTAAGATTTACTTCACGTGGATTTTATGCTTTATATTATCAACGATGCTTATCCTACAAAATGTCTGCTGGTTACCTGTAAATCCAAGGATAGGAATCGAGAATTAAATAGACAAAAATATTGAAAATAACAATATTTAAAAAAGCGAGACAAATCGCAATTCCTTTCTCGATAAAAATGCGAATTTACGTAAATATTTGTAATTTATTCATGAGTAAACGATAATGCCGAGTAAAGTGATTTTCCATACGAATATTTTCATGATTCCGTAAAACTGGATATATAATTATAAAGGAACATCGTCAAAAATCTTTAATGCAAGATAGCCACGAGGATATCACGATTTTGTGCCCGGATAGCTATAGTTGATCGGAAAGTTACATAATTTGCATAATTAGAAATAATTACGCGAGATGAACCGTCAAGATCATCAGTTCGCTACGTGTTTTCGTTAGCATATCTATTACTCCCTGAAAGTTTTTCTCTTCGATCGTTTCTACGATATATATTATGAAAATTGTCGTGGTGAATTAGCATGAAAAGTGCAAATCCTAGGAGATAAGAGAAATTCGTGGCCGTGTTGGACTTGAAATTTGTATGCGTAAATATGAAATTAACCAGGTATCTGATACTCGAGAAATTGGAATTTTTTGGTTTTTAAAATACGAAGCAAGCGTGGTCTCGTGCAGTTACGAAAAATGAGAAACGATTTCCCCGTTGTCTCTTCGTGAAAGTTCGAAACTGATAGTATTTCTTTAGAACATTTTATACAAACAATAATGAATTGAGAATATACCAGGGAACTATAATTGCAAAAGATATTCTATTTCTATGAATCAGTTCTCCGAGATTTTTACATTATTTCCAGCCCTTCGAAGTTCCCTGGGAACCTCATCATCAATCGTATGATCGGTACCATTCCAAAACCCCAATTTCAATTTTCCCGATCTTACCTCCGCAAACCCTCGTTCATTCATCCCCCAAAAATCACGTACTCCGTCGATACGGAGCAACCCCCAATGAGCAACAAATATTCGCAACCACATGGATCGAAGCAAAGCAAATAGAGCGAAACTAACGTATCCGGCGCCCCGTGTCCGTGATCGACCAACAAAGAAGGAAAGATCTATCATCATATTTCTCACTCAAACGAAAGAGAAACCCAGCAACAGAGGTAGAAACGAAGGTTCAGTCGCGCGATTTCTACTCGTCCTTGACGTGGATGTCCCCTCAACTAGGCGGAACGTTATCGTTTAGGCTAATCGGCGATTAATTTTCGTGTTTCGGTGCGGTGCGGTGCGGTGCGGTGTGGTGTGGCGGCGGCGGCGGCGGCGTGGTCGGTGGAAGAAATTCAAGATCCGATCGAAGGTCTCCGTGGCTTGTGAAGGAGCACGAACCGGCGGGCCAGGTGCTGTTGGCCCCGGACCCACGAAGGGGAAAGAAAGAACCAGTTTTTTTAGGGTCTCCTTTCTTTCAATTCGTCGCGACGAAGGGCACGGTATTCGCGCGTCGTGCCCTAAGCCATACGTCGCTCTCCTCGCGCCCGAACAGTGGGAAAGTTACACGGTGCACACCGTTTTCGAATTTGCCGGGGGTTGGGGTTGCTCCTCATCTTGCTCCTCTTTCTTCTTTCACCATTTCGTCTTCCTTCCTTTCTTACTCTCTCTCTTTCTCTCTCTGTCTTTTTTTTTTACTTTCTTCTTTCATTTCATAGTTGTGCACGATACGTACCGGTCGACGTTCGAGTCCAACTCAACGCCTCCTATGGGATCGTCCTGCGTTTACGAGCCTATTTTTGACGCCCGGCGTCGCGTCGTCCGCGTTTCCTGCTTAAGGGGTGGAGTACGTGCGGCTCAAATGGCACGTGGGTTTCCATCGCGTGTTACGCTAACGAGAAACAGGCGGCAGACTATTTGCATTTCTAGGTTTGGTATTGTTCGGTGGTTGGACACGTAATTGACGAATTCGAAGGCCCGCTTGGGGGACTGTCTCCTGATCGTATCGTGAAAATGTAGCGAGAGTAACTATTTCGAAAGTTATTCTTAGGTACATGTAGTTTGAATTGCGATTATTTAATCATTTAATGTTATACAATTAAATTAATCGTCATTTCCTAGAAATTGACTTCCATAATCTAAGTATAATTTTGCACGAATGGCCGTTATTATTTCAATAGTTCACGAAATTAGATTTTTTATAATTTATAGAACTGAACAGAAATAATCTATATAAAAATTGAAACGACCAAAGAATCTATACTGTGCTAGAATTACAAAGAAGAAAATTAGAAAATCAAAAAGACTTCTCTGTTCAGTTCGTACAATTCAGCGATAAAAAAGAGTTATGAAAAAGATATAAATGTTCGTGCGCAAAATTTCTATAGAATTAGATTGTTTGAATTGCAGTTGATACTTAATTTAACTACAATTGTGTTTCATACGACGATGTTTGCATAGTGCCTTATGTTATCCCATACTATACAATTAAGTTTTATCGATCAGTGTACCCATAATATCATCTGTTACCCCATTCACTTCTTCCCCATCGCCGAAAGCAATAAAAAGATATAGTCATTTCATTCTGAATCAGTATAATTAACTTCTAACGTTATCATTCCAAGTAACAATCTCTATATAAAATCCAGTTTATAGAAAATAACAATCTATTTATTTACACTTTACTTAGTTTCAAACAATCGTCAAATTAAATTAAACAATACCAAAGTATCAAAGTACCTAATTTGCAATCTGAAATACATTTCAAACTATCAAAGAATGACGATCTTTCCAATTACTTTTACCGCATTTCCACGATATTTCCACTCGATGAACGTCGATCAGGCGTTCCCCTCATTAATTAACGTAAAAAAAGAGAGATGTTAAGTTCAGGTGGCAAACTTGGCTCCTTTTCTTCGGAGAAGAATCCTGAAGTGGTTGAACTCGAGGCCCAAAGACGAGATCGATTAAAGAGGACGGCGAGTTAAACGGTATTAAGCTCGAAAGCTGTTCCTCCCTCAAAGGGTTTCCAAGGTGCCAAAGTCGATGGCTTTCGAGTGTTTCACGCCATTCTCTCTCACTTACCTCCTCCCTCTCCCTCTCTCCCCAGTCTCTTTCACCTCTCAGCAAGCCAAAACTTCTGCTAATATTTTTATTGCGGCAGACCTCTGCGAAAGTGTGAACGTTCGTGTGAAAGAAGAGGGAAAAAACGATTTCACCCCTCGCCCTCTTAATTCGTACCCTCTCTTGAGCATACGAGTGGCAAAAACCATTTTTCCGAGCTTCATGCGTGTTTGTCGCGTACGAACGCGTGTAAAATATTTTTATAATCAAATAATTAACGTAAAAATTTTATTTAAAATATTCTTTTAGAATTAATGCTAAATTTCTTAGTATCATCGTTTAGTGTTGATAATTGAAATTTGATTATTTGAGAGCAGAGAAACTTTGATAGTACATTTATCTTTTGTCTTTTGTCCAAGTGAAATATTTATTAAAATATTGCAAAATTAGTATTGTAATGACATTAGGTAGTACGATCGATATCTTGGTTATTTATATCGTCCTGAAATATGCAAATATAATGAATCTTTTTATTTGACAATAATTATTTATAAATCCTATCGTTTCTTCAAATGTTTCAATTTTATCGATTACTATTAGGAGTCGTTTAATTTTATGGAATAATTTAATGACATCGTAACGAATATCTATTATGTAAATGTACAATCTGAAATAAACTATTATAAGATTTAAAGGTAGATATAAATGTAAAGATACAAACTAATTAACTGATGATATAAATTAATCACAAATTAATGTCATCGTATGAATGCCATTTTAATTTCAATAATCGTTTAAACAAACATTTTTCATGTGGCAATACATTCATCTGTCCATGTAAATTAACAATCTGTTCCCTCTATATCGGATTAAATATTTTTCAAGAAAAAAAGAGAAAAAAAATACACAACGTTTACAAAGACGTAGTTAAAATTAAAAATTAAGGATTATCACAACGTGCGAACTACCAAATACCTCCTCACTTTTTACCTCCGTAACGATTAATCCGTTCCTCTCACTCTCGATCAAACGGAATCAAATCAAGCCAAACCAAAAAAAGAAAATCATAAGAAGCATATCGTTAACATACCGAAGGAAGAGTTTCTCACTAGCCAATACCAATTAAAAATCCGAAAGCCTCTCTGCACCTTCGGAACATTTCAATGTCCCGCGATCGTACAAGGATGTCCGCCGGTATCTACGCAGCTGGCGAAAAAGCTAACAAGCCAAGCAGGCAGACCAGGCCTACGGTGAGCGCAGACGATCGAGCGATGTGCGCGGGGCCCGCAAAATCGCAGTGGAAGGTTAAGGGTCAAGAACCCCGGCAGCCTTTTTGCCACTCGATTAGCGACTCGTCGGTGCGAGTCGTCCGAAACTTCCGGAGGACGTGGTCGTCTCTCGCTTAATCCACACGACGATCGTTCCTCCTCCTCCTCCTCTTGCTTCTCTTCTTCCTGCTCTTCCTGCTTCTCTTCCTTCCTCTTCTTCATCGTTCATTTTCCTCCTCGTCTTGGTCTTCTCCTGTTTGCACACACGTGCGTTCTTCTCGCTCCTGCTGGCCAATTTTCAGCCGTATAGGCGACCAGACGTATTCCATCACATGATCGCAGGGCTGCATACGAAAACGCAGAAGACGTCGCGAGGCCAGTAGCCACGCATCGCTGAATAAACTGATGCGTTCGTGTCGCGTATGCAACGCTACGTGCAACGTATTTTTTGCAGGACGAAAACTTTCCCTTTCTGTTCTTTTCGCCTCGTTTCGTCTCTCTTTCTCTCTGTCTCACTCTCTTTTTCATCCTCTCCCGCTTCTTCGCG